GTAATATTATTAATTGTTTTCGATCTTATCGAAACATTTAATTAAGTGATTCTTATATTTCCAGTATTATTTATGAAAATAATGATTTAATAATTTCAATTTTATTAATTGTGTTAAGTTTTCTTAATTTAATGAATGATGATATAAATTATTATATAATAATCTTGATATGTTTTCCTCTTTTGAAGATTTCTTTAAATAGGTATAGTAACATTATTTGCAGGACAATTGACAAAAAAATAGAGAAAATCTATAAAGAACTACACACTATATTAAGGCAAAGGGAAATAGTAAAATAATTGCGTAAACTGAAAGAACGAAAAACTAGTTACAAGTTTTTATAAGATTGATATAGACTACACCTTGTGACATATAGATTAACCATCGTATTCAAGATTGCGTCGTTATCCTTGAATTTCCAGTCCACCTTTATATATCTAAATCTGCAGTTATTTATTATATAAAAAATTAGAATAATTACTAAATACATTCAATTTTATTTTCGTTTTTGTTATTGTATAAAATAGATGTTTTTAATTACTTAATTTATTTTCCTTATTATATTATTACATCAAATGAAACTTTTAAAATCTATTTTATATAAAATCTTAATACTTTTTTTCATAAATAATTGTAACCTACTATAAAGTATTATTATTAAATGTTTATAACTGTATTTTATCAATTTGTATTTTTTTATTGCAAAATACACAAAAAAAAGATTAAATTGCAAAAAATAATTCTGAACGAGACGGATTCTTAACATTCTACACAATGTAGATTTGTATAAATATAAGGATTATTATCATCTATGGCTAAAAATACATATGGTCAATAGTCATTTAAATAATTAAATATTATCTTTATTGTTTTCTGTTTCTTTTTTTATTGGGTTAAGATTGTTGATTGTAAATAAAAGAAATTTACAAATTTTTATAAGTGTTGGATGGATGAAGGTGGAATTAATTGCGGTATTTGCGATGATATTAGCGATATATAGCGATGGACGTTCATATAGGCCTAAGTATGGGGACGTTACATAATTTTCGTCGGATGTTCCATTACGGAACGAGCCGAAGTGGATATAATTAAATGGAAAAGAAGTATCCATAAAGCCATAAAGATATACAGGTCAGTATATCTATGTAAGATTACGGTGTAATTTGGCACGTGGACAAATATATTTATATACGGGTAGGGCTCGGCTCGGCACGGCTCGCGCCGTGTTCATTGCACACACCGACTGCCTGCACACACATGGGGCATCATCATCCATGGGGCATGGGGCATTCATGCAGCACCGGGCTCTGGGATGGCGCTAGTGCAACTACCTGGATTAGCACGCACGCACCTGGGCTCGCGCCGGACACACTTATTTTCTCTTTCTCTCTTAACTCTTTACATACTGGTGTTACTACCTTTACCTACCACAATCTCATTTGTCCTCAAACCACTTTCGATCCATCCATAAACCATCTCCGTGCTTCCCCGCATCCAATGCCTTTTTCGTCATCTAAATCCATCACGACTACAAATAAATTATGAAACAAAAAATTTATTATAAAACTACAAATTTACATACTTAATTCGATCTGCCACAATAGTGCCAGAACATGTTACAAACTGAAATTGCGTAATAGTTGTCTAAACAGTTGTTTGTGTAATTAGTGTCTAAAAAAATTAATATGAACTTAATATTTTATAATTAAGATTAATACAAATAATGAGTAAAGTAATCCAATAAATCGTTTATTAGCAATTATAATTGGCTAATCTCTTCATTTAAAACTTATAGGAACTATAGAAATAAACATTGTTATATATATTTTTTTTCTTAAAAAAGTATAATAATTTAATCCAAAATTAAAAACCACTAACAAATAAAGAAATTTAAAATTATTATTTTTTTCTGAATAAGATTAATTGAATTTGGATTCATTTGTTAGAGTGTTAGTATTTTATTGATTTGGCTATTCCAGTACGTACTTTTTTTTTGCATAGTTTTGAAATAAGATTTACTAATTGTGTTGTAACTTGAAATTGTATATTATTAACTACAGTGGAACGAGAATCTCGCATAACGAGCAAAATGAATTGTAAGAAAAATGACTCGCTGAGAAGTCCTTGATTGTGCGTCTTCTACATCATTTTTAAAATTTGTGTACACATATTCTGTGTATTTTTGAATATATTAATCATCTTCGATTTTCTCTGTCATCTTTGTTTAAAGCGGACTATACTACACAAATATAAGTTGTGTTTGCTGAAAATGGAAAACACAAATGTACGCTTTTTTATATAAACAAATATTAAAAGTATAAAAGACTTCCAACAAGTAATATAAACAAATATAAACTCACTTCACCGTGTGTGAATTGGAAAACAGTTCCTAGTGTTATTGGTTATTCTATTTGCATCTTAGTGTTGTTTGTGATCACAAAATTTTCAAACTTGTGTTCAAACATGTTATTTGTGTTTTTTTTGTACAAAATTTAGGAAAACTTGCATGTCTCCGAATAAAAAGCCAAAGAATAAAAAGAATCATAGAAATTACAAGCAAAATCATTAAAAATCGAGACCAACTTATCCTTTTTTAACTGGCAAGGAACGCATTATCATATTATTACATTAGTTTATATGGGAAAAACTGTTTCACTATACGAGCAAAAATCCGGAAATTTAGATTTCATCTTCGTTGCGATGTTCAAGAATTTATTTACAAATTCGTTAATTTTGTTAATTATTGTAATTTGTTTAATTTTGTTTTGTTTTTCATACACTTTATTCTAAATAAGATAAATTACTAATAGATTATTACTTGAATTGTAATTTTATCTTCTAATTAGGTCTACAAATTACAATGATAATTGTTTTTTATTAGAAATTTTTAAAGGAATAAAATTTCAGGTCAAATTCAGGTAATAATTTACTCATATAAATGAATCTCCACTAGTTTTTTGTTACATAATAAGATAATGATAAAATCATAATTATACATTTTTAAAGTAGTAAAATTTTTACCACAGAAATGATTTAATCTCATTAATATAAAATATTTTCACACTAACCATCTTATATTACGATTTTCTCAATTGTAAGTTGTTAAGATATTATAATAATTCGTTACATCCCAGTCAATGTGACCGTAAGTAGTAAATCTTTCGTCATGTTAGAAAAGATCGAAAAGCAGCGCATTGTTGCATAACTTGCGATAAACCAGTTTGTTTACAATATTCAAGACATATTTGCAGGGAATTTATGTGAATTTGAGCTTTTCTAATGTTGCATCTGATATGTTTATGTAGATTCGTCAATAAACGAGTTTTAAATCTTGCTATTTCGCTTTTATTTTAAGGGTGTAGTTTTGTGTGTTACGCAAACCATAAATGGTAAAGTTTTAGATATAATTGTTAAAAATTACTTGTTAGAACATTGTGAATGAATTATTTATGTAGCTGGTCAATTTGACCTGATTGTAATATGAGTGTAACAAAATCAGCATAGTAGAAATTATTGTTAATATCTTTTATTATAAAAAACTATTTTTTTGGTTTTATTAGTATTATTGTTGTGAATGAAAATGTTAAACTTTTTGTGAGAGTTGCAATTAAGATTATTATCAAATCCTCTTATTAAGTGATTACTTAATATTTTCATCTTCTGTTTATTATTAAATAGAAATTAATAAGGTAGATTGAATCAAAGAAATATCTGTATTACATAATATTCTAAAAAATGATTATATAAATAGAAATTGGCGAGGATGTTCAAAATAAATGTTGTTCTACGAGTACCGATAGAGAATCTTGTGATTTATATAGAAAGCAATGTGAATGTATATAAAACCTGTTCTTAATTAATATAATATATTTCTGCGTATTGTAGATATTTAATTTGCAATCGCAAAGTGGCGAGTGCTGAGTCTGTGTGATACAATTATCATAATTTTCCGACCGATTTAATCCCATTGCAAATACACAATAATCGTATGTATATGTATATATATTGCATTTGGAGCGGCATTTAATTGGATGCGCATTTAATGCACCTACAAACGATATTTTCAAGCGTTCAAGATTAACAGATACAAAAGTCTAGTCGCTGCTTAGATTACCGTCTTTAATTAAATCTTATTGATAACAAACTATACAATACTAGCTTAGCAGATAAATAATGAATATACTGCAAGATAAAACGCAAAGACTTTTTGTTTTAAACAATCGTTGCAATCATTATATAATTTATTTACTAGTTGAAATGAAAATTAATATATAATTTTTGTTATTTATATGAAATATTCAAATTTAAAATAAAAATCAATGAAATATGTGGTTTTTAATTGTAATTAACAATAATATATTTGTTAAAGTTTTAAATAAATAAAATTTGATGTTTTTGTTAAATATATTAATAATTATTATCATACATTTATTTGTAAAATCGTTTTAAAATTTAGTATATAATATTTGTTATTTTTTTATAAACGCATTTGTAATAAGTCCGTATATATAAATTTTGTTGTTGTTTTCTTTGTTAATGTATTATTTATGAAATCGTAAAGTATGTTCATTTTTATGAAATAAAGTTATAAAAATAGTTGCAGCATGAAAATAATGTGCTAATAGGAGAAAAAACCTGTCTAGGCTCTGGAATATTTCATCTCGAGTCACAATCACAGTACATGTTTATAAAGCAAGTTTGCAGAGGCTGTGGACGGTGGAGCACGCAATAAACATATAGATTACCAACATTTAACATCAGCATTTGCCATGATTTGTACAGAGCGTCGCCGGAAACACAGACCAATTTGCCATGAATATTCCCGATGCGACGGCTCCTCCGGCATCGAGTCTTTTCGTTACGTAAAAAAAAACGAGCAAAAAAAATAGAAAAAGTAAATAAGTGAATAAATATGAGTAGAATCGGAAGCGAAAAGGAACGATTAAATAAACTTCGCGCATTTGTTGCCCAGGTAACGTTTCTATCGGGCGTTAGAACCAATGGAGAGGCAGGAAATTGGCCAGGTGTTAGACGATAGGGTTTCGTGGGAGTACATACGTTTCCATTGGTTCCTGGTTGTCTAGGAAATGGGGAACGGGGAGTGGCTCTAACGGACTCAGGATAATCGTCCCGGAGTTTAGGCAGGCTGGATTACCGTTCCAGCTTTCAGTTTTCGCTCTGACCTTCTACTGTTAGGGTGTGTGTGGAACGGCGTTAGATAACACGCGCATAGATCGAGAGGAAAAGAGAGAGAGAATAACAGAGTTTTGTAGTCGCGATTAAACACGCATCGGATTTATATCGAACGAAGACTTCTCGTTAGGAACTTACTAAGTGGATTTATTTTTTATTTACGCAACATAAATTGTTTCAACTTTAGTTTGTTTTTATTTACAACGTGCATTACATCGATAACAAAGTTTTCCCATTCCCCGAAGATATGGTAATATTGTAAGTACCAAATTATTTTTATTATTATTCCAATTGTAAACATACAGCATTCTTATTAATTCCGATTAATTCACTGAAAAATATTGAAAACTTCATAATAACAATTTAAAATTGAAATATAATAGATTTGATCTTTATTTTATATATACTTTATTAATTTACAATAATACTAATTTATGAAAACATTCGTTGTTCAAAAGTATAAACAAATAATAATATAATTAATATTAAACGATTTATCAAATAAAAAAGTTATGTAAAAATTAATTAACGTATAAAAATAATTGAAAATGAAATATTTTTGTATTTAGGTTTCCTATAAGATCTATCGTTGAAATCACTTAAATAAGAAAATACTTTTTAATAGAAAAAAATTTATATATTCTTTGACTAATTGTTTATTATTAAATATAATTAAATGAAACTAGATTTAAATTTACGTTTTTCATTCAAATATTTTTATTTTTTATTCAATAATTTTCAAATGTATGCGGAAAATTTATGTTTTATTTGAAATTATTATTATTTTAACATTAAATTTAATAAATAATAAAAACAATGAAATTTTATGTATTGTGTTTAATTGCAATAACATTTGTAAAAAGGAAGAGAAAGTAGGATTTAGGGTATTGATGAAAATGTGATATATCGATGGATCGTTTAGATAGTGAAGAAAACAATAAAGGCGATAGGAGTATCAATGGAATAAATTTATTCTTCTGTAAATAATCGCGGTGTGACCGATTCGGTCGTAAAGTAGCCGCGGGCTCGTGCTTATTAAACAATCATAATTTACTGTTGTCACGAAACTGGCAATTATCATGTTCGATTAATAATACGATATCTGATCCCTCATCGTAAATACGTAATCTATAGAAGGTATCCGAGCAAGAAAAACCATGTTGAAATAGATTGTGTTTGCCTTATTACGCTCATAGGTATTATACCGATAGATTTATACGATGAGGATAAATCCACTTCCTTGTACGCCACAATCAATAATCGGAATAATTATAAGAGGAATCTGTATAGGTGTGCTGTTGGTTATCATTGTGCGTTTTCTGATTTATAACTATTTGTTTTCTTTTCTTCTGAAGGCATACTCCGAATTCCCCTGGCATGTCGTGCCGGGTCAATTATGCATCTGGATCGTCCTCCGAGTGGGACATCAACGATAGTTCAGTGCCCAGGATCAGCGAATACGATGCATTCTCGGAGTGGGCGGATGGACATTGCAGACTCGTCTATAGAGCGGACTCGGAGGAAGCCAAAAGGCATTCTTCCGGCTGGGCCATGAGGAACACCAACAACCACAACGTGCATATACTGAAGAAGAGCTGCTTAGGTGTCCTAGTTTGTTCACTGAGATGCACCCTTCCCAGCGGTGATAGAGTCCATCTGAGACCGGCGATTTGTGATAAAGCCAGAAAGAAGCAACAAGGTAATTTGCTAACACAATTTAAAGAGAGAGAAAATAAAAAAAAATCAAATATAAATTAAACATTTATTTAATTAAACGTAATTCCGTTGTTTCAGGAAAACCTTGCCCGAATCGTCAATGCACTGGACGTTTGGAAATCCTTCCATGCAGAGGACACTGCGGATATCCCGTGACGCATTTCTGGCGACACACGGAACACGCAATCTTCTTCCAATCCAAAGGAGTGCACGACCATCCCAGACCCGAGGCGAAGAGCACCTCGGAGGCTCGAAGGAGTCTGGGCAGCGGTCGAAGAGTCAGAGGATTGGCCGTCCTCCTAGCAAACGAGGCGTCTCTGAGTCATAAGGTAATTAGGAATCCGTATAAGAATTTCGACAAATGTAAATTAGCGGTTGCAGTCGAGGAGGAAACAAACAAACAAAAAAAAAAGAGTCGAAACGAAACTGTTTCTCCCCCCGGCTTTTAATAACCAGTTTCCGTTACAAATGATTGCTGACGCTGACAAACATCAATACGATAGAACACCAATAATAAAAAATCTTCACCCGACTGATAAATCGACCACACAGTATTAATAACTGGTTAGCCGCAACAATTATATAGGCACAGGTCGATAATTAATAGTTCTAAGAGAGGTGAAAAGTTACTAGTATCATTACCATATTCTTAGATAGGTTTTGCATATCTTCAGAGCGCTGTCTTTGCGGGATAAGATCTCGCTCTAGGAGACGAACTAAAACTACAGATAAATAAATATTTCAACTTGTGTATTCCATGTATATTTATGTTTTCTCGTTGTTTGCAGTTGATGTTGCGCGAACCGAAACGGCAATGCAGGGAAATGGTCCAGACCCCAAGAACTTTAAATCCGCCACCTCTAATCGCCGATCAAGAGAAAAGCTATTGTTCCTGTCCACCGTTCGAATGCATATGCAACTATCAGCCAACAGCAATGCAACAGTACTCTCCGACATCCTATCAACAACCGCAGTTCATCGAATCCTACTGGACGCCGGAAGTGCCTCAGCAAGTGCAACCCTATGCTGCAGAACCTAACACTCCGCAATACGATTTCACCAACATCACCTCGGACCTCTTTCAGCCCGAGGAGATCTTCCAATTGGATCAACCCATAAAAGCAGATTTTATGAATACTAGTCAAGAACCCGCCGGACGTTCGCCACCAACATTATTGGACTTGGGCAGCGGCACCATCCACAGAGAATACAAAAGCGAGGAGCAATATTGGAACCAGTCCATTTCCATCACGAACGACGACAGCAACAACAGCTCCAACAGCCGCTTCAATTTCAACTCATCACCGGACAACAGTCAAATATCCCTGAACAATAATTTATTGCCATCGGTAAATCAAAACGACATGCGATTGTATTTGGACACTAAAGTGGACGAGACCTATTCGAAGGACTACCAGAATTATTATCATCAACCTCAGGGCTTCGAGGCTATAACCGATGCTAAGTTATTCTTCGGCGAAGATTCCATGCAGAACTGCGATTTTCAAAAGCAAAATTATGCGCGATACACGCAGAACGCTGAATACACAGACTACAATTTATTGTCGACTTTCGACAATAAAATTAACGCCGGCGATGTATTCAACGACATCGAGTTTAAGATGAATTGTGCAGCAACTAATCTCCACTACAACGTCGACTCCTTCGAAAATATTATTTAAAAAAAAAAACAGAATACTTACCTTACAGTCAATTGTGCCTTCGCAAAAAAAAAACTCTTTCAAATGATCTTTATTACTTGTAATCTTAAATACTTTGACATTCCCTTATACTTTATTATTATTATTATTTTTCTTGTGTTGTTACTTATTGTGAATAGAAGTATATTGAATTGTACATATTGTGAATAATAAATTGTGATATTAAATTAATCCACTATTTATGTAATTACCTGGAAATCATGCAAACGTTAAGGATGTATTCAGGGGGGAAACATCAGCATATTGGTCATATTACTTTATAATTATATCGTATAGTATGTTTCTCAATTCTCAAAAAGAATACAGCTTGAATTGGAGTCTAATTTCAATGGCAAACGTAAGTAAACAGTGATTCAATGTATTAAATAAATATTGATAACCCCTCTCCAGTTTATTATAGACAAACACTTCACATGGTAAATTAAATATTAAAAAAAAAAATACAAAATCACAATAATTGAAATACATTTTCAAACACTGCATAATTATTTAATATCTAAACTGGGGACAAATTATGAATATTCTTAATATTTTTCTATATACCATCTTACACACTTACACACACAAAAATATATATGAATTACATTTAATATCACTTAAAATCGGAATTAGATCTTTCCATAAACAGCTAATCACATCGAGATTGTTGAGAAATTCTAATTTAAAAAAAAAAATGAAATTAGGAAATGTGGCAGAGTCCACCTCCATATCTGAAAAACATGAAAATCACAGAATATAACAGAACAATCAATCCAAGGAAAAAATAGTACTTCCTACGATCATTCAAAAGTTTGGAATCTGTAATTTAGCGAATCACAATGAAACCACGAGGTAAAATTCCATACTTTCGATATAATTAATCCAACATACATTTACGTCACAAATGAAAGAAAATATGACCAATATTTCAGCTGATTGTTTTAAAATTAAAATAAAACAAACTTCAATGCTCTATTTACATACGGAAACGTTACTCTTTGTTTTTGTTTTTCTTAGTAATTTTTTTATTGCACGAACTGCATTCATCTTAAATATATTTATATAAAAAACATTGTTATATAATTCGTTTCACATAGACCAAATTAAGAGTAATTATACATTGCAAAAAAAAAAAAAAAGAAAATAGAACTCAAAAACGTCATAATTGCCTAAAATAAAATTTGAATTTTCGCATGAAGAATTCACTTAAAAAGTTCCTCGTATATAAATTCCATATACACCCCAATCATCGTCACGTTAAAGTCTCAAACATTTCATTTAAAATTTTAGTAGGATTTGCACTATTATTATAATTTTTGTTGTGTGAAACTTTTTTTTATTTTGTTCAAGAGGAAACAAGTTAAGAAAGTCACTAAGCAAGTATAGAATAGTGTTGGTCAATTAATACAATTATATAATACGATATTGATAGATTTGTTACACTTGATGTGAATAGATATTTTGTATATAAATGAGATATTTGTAAGATTGCGTGTTTTCTGTTAATTTTTCTCTCTCTCTCGTTCTCTAAAATAAGCGATATATTTACAGAATTTATTTAGTTAAAATGTTAGTAAATAGTCTAACTTTACTAATTTCTTACTCGCAAACGTAAAGTTGTTAGTATTAATAATAAGTGTATTAATTATTAAATAAAGTAAAACTTCTCTCACTATTGTAACTGAAAATTGGAACTGTTAAAAAGTTATTTTATTTTTATATAATATATGTAACGTTTGAATTTATTTTGAAACAGACATAGATACTTTAATTTCTTGATATATATATGTTTTAATTCGTCACTCTATATAAATATGCATTTAATTATTTGTTTTTAATAGAATCTCTAAGCGAATTGTATGAATATATTCTGAAGCAAGTTTAAGACTATTTTGATTTAATTACAAGGAAATGCTAAGGCCATAATATATATATGTATATATACTAAAACATATTTGTATATTCTTCTCTGTTTTTGCTTTGTTTTCATTATTTTTGAGACTTATCACGTTATTTCTATCACTTAAACGAAATTACAAGTCGCTGCTTGTATACACTCTTTAACAATTAGAAAAAAAATACTTTAAACGTAATTTGATTTGATTTACTCTAACTTAACTATTAAATTGTTTCGACGTTATAAATATAATATATATACAATCTAATTAATTGAACAAAAAGTAAAAGAGAACTAGAATATCACATTAACTTAAGAAACAATAGTTTTTTTTTTAATATTAATAAAACGCGAGAATATTACAAATGACGTAATATTAGGATAATCCACTTTGTTGCACCCTTACCAATAAGTACAAAGACTTAAATGGATTATGAAAGTAATTTTTTTTATTGGAAAGCAAAATATAATATAAAGTGCCCTCCACATTCTTCATCATCTTTACCTACCGCGTTTCATCATCTTCAGTTTCCGTTGCATCTAGGCAGTGTGTTTTCGTGGGTGAACTTGGAAGTGATAAGCAAATCGGGTCAATTGTTGACTGATCCATTCTAGAAGAAGCTGCAGATTGGGACATCAACGGAGTATACTGCGATTTAACCATGTTGCTCACAGGTTTCACTTGGATTCGATAAAATTTAGTACCTTTTGGTACTTTGTAACGGTTTTGAGACTACCATGAGACATAATAACATTAATATCAGAAATTCTATTGTTTTATATATGTTAACACATACCTTCTTCGCGTGACAATATTCCTTAAACTCAACTTCACCTGTGCAAAAGACCATTTTCTTCTCCCCAGGTCCTGGCCTTTTCAGATCCAAAACACTGACGCTATCCGAATGCAGAAAGAAAAGATACGGACTATTCTGAAGAATGGTGAAGTTCTCGTGCTCTTCATCCCATACAACAAGGACAGTGTCACCAATCGCGCATGACTCGACATTCAATCCATCGCTGCTAGTCATTTGTCTCTTCATTTTCTTACTACTCCTAACTGAACTAGTGGAGCATTCCATTATAGGAGCTATAAATTTGTATACAAATATATTAAGTTACTGCTGTTCCCAAAAACATAAATTACTATTACCTGGACATAAAGCAACTGAGGTAGACATATCCATTGATGCGCCCATTATAATCTGTTTGTCTAAACGCAGCTTACATTCCAACGCATATTTCTCTTTTTCTAGTGCAGCAATTTTTTCAGTAAACTCCGTAGAAGAGGAACTTACTTGCAGTTCGGTCATCTGTTGAATCATATTTTTATTTTTTAAGCATTCCAAGTTCAAAATTTCCTCCCTTTGCCTCAAAGTTTTTATAAGAATATCCTTCTCATCTGAAATTCTTTTCGCAATCTCTTCGACCTTCTTGTCCTTCTCTTCCTCGTAAAACGCACGCATTTCTTGTATCTTTGATTCCATAATATCGGACCACTTTTTTGCCTCTTCCATCTTTGCATCTTCAATGGCTTTACTTTTTTCATATTCCAAATTATCCTTAATCTGTTGGATTAAACTTTGGTCAGATTTATCGATTTTTTCCAAATTCGCATCGGAAGGGCTTCTATCCAATTCAGAAACTAGACGAAATCTAGTTCTTAAATTATCCATTTCAGTCTTATGTTCCCGGGTAAGTTTATCACTTACTTCTTTTATGGTCTTATCTTTTTCAACTTCTAATTTTGCAATTTTCTCATGGAGAGCTGTGAAGTCGTCGCGTGTCTTTTCATGATTGTTCTCAATTACTGCACATAGCCTCTCATTTTCCACAATAATATTCTTTAATCTATTGTCTAAATACAATTTCTCTGTATTCAGGCAAAGCATTTCTTCTTTATTCAATTCAAACATTCGCTTGAATGCATTCAACTCTATTTCATGTTGAGAAGAAAGGCGCTTAATAATTTCCTGTTCTTTGCTGTCTCGTTCGCACATTAAGGCAGTACAGCTATTAGCTAACTCCAGGTACGTTTCCTCTAGTTCCGCTTTTTCCTTTTCGAATAGTGTCTTTAAATCCTTCAAATCACCGAGCATATTTGTTGAGGTTTCCTTCATTATCGTAGATACGTTCATAGCTAACGACTTCAACCTTGACTGTTCATTACGGGAAGTCTGCAAATTATCCTAGAATAATTAAGAGCATTTTAATGGTTAAAACAAAATGATAAGCCATCGAAAGGTGTAAAATTTGCAAACAATAAAAATAACTAAAATAATCTAACGTTGCAAAATTATAAAGTCCAAAATAATAATAATAATTCAAAATAATAACTATAAGAGCAAAAACTAATAAAACAATAATAATACAAAAAAAAATAATGGAAAACCTAATTGTCTACTAGTTGTAGTAGAATATACCTGCAATAAAGCGACAACATCGTTTGCATTGCTAAGTTGTTTAGCATATTCGCTATGCGCATTATTTCCGGCATCAATGCTTAAACTGGACGGAAGACTCTCATCAATGTAATATTCATCGTTTATAAAATCATTGGGCTGAATGGCTTGAGTTGGTGAAATAGGCGACAATAGTGCGTTGCCACATTTAGGTGGTGATTGGGGAGTATGTGGCGATATAGATTTGGAGCGAACGAAATGCGCCGAATTGAAACCCTGAAGATGCGAATTGTAACAACTATCGGTATTTTTTAAACTAGACAGTTCGTCTATGCTTTCTAGCGAAATATTCTTAATGTTAGTAAAACTTTCAGTGTTACTTCCACTAATGCTAAGTGTCCTCTGCTGAGGCAGACTTTCCTTAGACGTGGTTAACTTTTGAAATGATCTGGGAGGTTTTTTAGGTGGAACAATGGACTTTTCACCCACCTCTGTTGTTATTGTTGAAGCATCTTGGCATCCAGGTCGAAGTGAACTCAAGACCTTATCGAACTGTAACTCTTGCGGACTTTGTCCAACCTTTTCAAATTCATCAGTGTCCGTTTCACTATCACAGCCCCTAAAAATGCAATTAATACTTTTCATTTTAAGATCGTCAAACATCAACTTACTTTTCCAACTCTTTCACGTGTGATAAATGCCGGGATAAACAAGTATCACTGTCTGTGGGCTTCAAAAGATTTTGATCCATATTACTGGCTAAGCCAATCTCGTTAACAACATCTACCAATCTATCTTCGACTTTTCTACCGTCATCAGGAATATCGTCTTGTTTTACAAAAAACTTAGAGAAGAAGCTTGTTACTGCCGATATATCGTGCACCATACAATTCTCAGACATATCCGGCAGCATAGATCTTAACTGATGGACATCTTCAGCTGTAACTTTTGGTAAACTAGAATCAAATATTGAAGGAGTCTGAGTAGCAAATGTCGGAGGCATATCTTCCATGCCAGGAAAAAGAGCATTCAGAAAATGACCCTCAAACATGGATTGAAATTCTTTTCTCCTCGCAACTTCTTCATTGTGAATGGTCAGCACATGACAAGCCAATTCAGAAGCCCACTAAAATGAAAAGTTTAAATAAACTAAAATATACTTTTAATAAATTAAATATTACCATCAAGAACGACTGAGAAAATTCTCTACGACGAACAACTTCCACAATAGCCGACAAATACATGACAGGAGCTAGATGAATTTGTTGCAAAATTTCCAAATTTTGTCTCAATCTTTTCAAATTATCATGATATATCACCAGCTTGTGATTTGCATCGATCATCATATTCTGAACGAACATGACCCATTTCAATCTTTGAAACAAATTTAAACATAACTCTTCCTTTGCCTTTGCACACCTCCGACGGATATCGCATAATAAGGCATGGTTAGCATCCATCACATTCAATTGATTGCGATGACTTTCGCACAGATCCGGCAATATAGACTTATCTCCCAAATGTCCAGCCCTATTTTGATTCTAAAAGACAACATAGCAATTAGAAAACCCTGTTATATGCTAATACTATTAAACAATACCTGTTGAAATGATTGTGCTAAGTCAAATTGTTCTCTTACATATTTTTTAGTTGTAATCATCAATTGCTCTAACCCACACAACCTAACCGATAACCCCTTGACTTCCTTCATTTCCATATTCTGTGCTTTACGTATCACAAGTTCAATTTCCTTATGCAATGTCGAGAAAACCATTTGATCGAACTAAATTTAAAAAAAAATGATAAATTCAGATTCATTATGCATTTGTAAATAGTTTACTTGTTCTAGCCCTTTTGAGCAGTGATCATACAATTGCTCCATTGTATTCCTGCTATCAGTGGAAGAAATCCATTCAAATAAAGTAATATCTTTATTTTCCAAGTTAACCTGTTCATCCTCGTTATCGTTCTCTTGAACAATTCTATCATCAACATTATTTTTAGCAGATGTTTCCAACAAGGTATGAATTACTGGTATTCTACCCAGTACTTCTAAATCATCGTTAAAGCTGAAAAAGAAAACATTAGATTACAAACGTCCTAGTTTTACACATCAAACAAAGCTCACAATTGCAGAAACTTTTTGTAATTGTCATGTTCACTCAAGAAATCGTTGAAATACTCCTCGAATAACTCGGACCTGTTTCTGAACTCGTTGGTAATATCTTCGAGATTTGCTACCACTGCTGCCCATCCCTGTTGCTGTAGATGCTGTTCGTGCACGAGCTTCTCACATAACATCGTTTGTTGTTTCGCGCAGTGATGAAACTGCATGGCCAACTTGGCACGTACTGCTATAGTCTCATAAGCAGGTGGCAAATCTTTTGCTTTTTCTACTCGATTTTTCAAATCTATCATAAAACGAATTTCTTTACCAAAGGTATAATTAGTAAAGCGTGTTAAAAGCATGGATAATTTATTAATTTCAATATCAGTTTGAAAATGGTACTAAGTGAATCCAAATAGAAATATTTTGGTTTCCTAGATTGAAACCCAAATATACATTTGGTCCTTAATACCACTCAATGATAATTAATAAGTAAATAGAATAATATTCTGAATTAATTAAAATTGATAAAAATTATATTTGATTACAAAAATTTTAAACAGTTTTTTTTTAAATCATTATATAAACAGTTTAAATAGCTAAGAGCAGAATTTACGAAAATTGTAAAATATTGATCAATTTATAATTTGCATAAATATACAAGTAGACTTGGTTTAAAACACGTTTATTATGAGCATTGGAAAAAAAAACAAACAACTTATTTGAAGCAGGTATCGCGCGACCTCATTTAACCCTGATCAAAATGCCTTCATTTATTCTTTCTACACTTTTATTTATAGACATTGCTGTTACTGGTTAGTTGGTTTCTTGTTTTGACGGATATTGAATCATAGATTTAAATTTGTTTTGATTGTTTTTCTTATAAAAACAAACAACCTTGAACTACCTCAGCAATGAATGTATTATTGAACGCATTTCAAAACAAGCCAGTTGCTGCTTCTTATGCATTATAAAATTCAAATCTTTGTTGATTCTATAATGCACATTTCAAACTGATACAGCAATCCCATAACCAAGGAAGAAGAGCTGTAGGAAAGCGTGAAACGAAGCACTTACCAGCAGAATCCGCGCCACAATCTCCGGGCATTATTTCCGGAGTTATAGATTCTATGATGCATTTACTGAAAAGGAAAATGGGGTTTGTATCCGTGCCAGCCGAATAAGAGCACACTTGGGAATCTTCTTCCAAAGATACACCACCGCTAACTAGCAAGACTTGTTTATCTACTGGAATTCCGCACTCCTTTTCCACGAATTTCTTCAAATGAGATACGCTAGAAATAATAGAAATAACATGATTTTTACAAGTTCAACAACAATTTTCAGAAATAGAGTAAACTTATTTTCGCATTTACAAACGTCTTCTTATTATCGAGTATTTGTTAAGTTGTAAACAGTGAGCGCAAGATAAAGCAATAATTACAAGATAATTCAATTTTCTTAACAATATTATTGTCGACCAGATACATAAAAAATGCGATATCACGTTTACTAAGGCTGATTTAAAGATCCTACCAAGTATTAATCCTTATTTTCCATATAAATAAGACATTACTTGTGAATAAATAACATTTATTTCATTCATATTGTCCTAAAAACAATCATAAAGTTAATCATTAATTCAATATCAAAAAATTACCATTGTTTGTTAAGCGGAACATTTTAATTGTTAAATTGTTTGTTTGATTGATTAATTGGTAATAAGTTTTTAGAAATGAAAACATTCATGTATTTTGTGGAATCATAAATTATTTAAAAAAGATAATGTAAATAAAAGTGAAAGAAATAAAGATTTATAACAACATAATGTTATAGTATAACAAACCTTTCAATTGCTAAGCTCATGTCGAAGGTCATCATTGAGCCAATATCTACATAGAATACGTACAACATCTTTAATGTTTGAAAGAAGAATTTCTTGAGATCAGAAGGTTGTCACCTGAAAAAGAAAGAAAGAAATGAAACTGCTTGTATCACAATGATTGAGTTAATGGCTCTATTATAATCCATGATTGATATATACAAAATCAGTGACATTTATTGATTACTCTGCAAAATAACTACATGATGCATATATTGTGTGTGAATTCGTTAAGAGGAAACAAGTGTATATGCATTTAAAAATGATTAAATTAAACAGATTTACTGGTCCGATGATGCTGATGATGATGTTATTGTTTATGAACATTTCATCACCTTCCTAACAGATACAACCATTTCATCGCATGCACACACACATCACATCACCACTTGCTATGGATCATTTGTAATAATTCACTTGTTACTCTTTATACTTGCTATCTGTGTTCTGTTTACTACACATTCAGGTAAACAAAGGAATCCTAGTGAGTCATAAAAATGGCAAGAAAATAAAAATCCCTAAGCAGCACAACGATATGCGCATCTTTTAAAATAGATGCAAGGATCTACGATAGAAATGCGTAATTAGGATCTATTGTAAACATACTAGAATTTAATTTTTCCGACGATGGAATTCTTTTCCATTGCAGTGCTCGACACACAACTCGTAGCTGACATTCTTACAGCTGATGCCTAACAACACTAAACACCACACAACGAACTCCGATCTTCGGACCTTTCTCTCCCTTATTCACCGTATCCGTTTTATCCACGGTCAATTCCTGTCTATCATAGACATTTTTATGTGATCGCTACGTGATCATCGGTTGACGATTCACTGTTATTTAGCAAAAAGTACGTGCGATTTGCAACTCATTAAAAAAATACCAAGGACATTATACAAACATCAAAATAATAAACAGCTGAATTGTACAGGGATCTTTCAAATCCCACTACCGACCTTCTACACCTTGCTCCAACTGGTATTCGATTTCATTCCAATAGATGGAGAAACAAACTCAAATTGATCATATGATCAATGGGTTGCCTATATAATTCAATTGAGAATTTCCTCAATTTTCAATTAATTAAAAATTTATGTAACTCTTCCAATAATTGCCTTACCTAATATAAAATAACTTGTTTCATACATATTTGAAGCATTTGATTAAAACATATTTCTCACTAATTTTACAAATAAAATTACATTAATAATAAAGTTGTAATTTAGTCAAATTGATTAAATAAATTAGAAGTAGAAAAACGATGTTAAAAGTAAACAGTAAATGACTAAATTTAACAATTAGACAAATATAAATTTTCATGAAAAATCTACTACAAGATCGACTCTACCCTCGTATCATATTTAGATAAGACCTCTCTATCAAGGGTACAGTTGCATAATAACCATAAGATATGTTTAATAATATATTTAATAAAAAGAGAAACAATAAAGAACTACTTGATTTCATTTTTATCTATAGCAAATTTAAAATTAAGGACTTCAATTTACACTATTAACTAAACATAACTAAAGTAAACGTATAGCTTTTTTTCATATAATATAATAATTAATTGAAGAATAACGGAAAATGATTATGTATTATGTATATTAAATGTACTTACAAGGTACAATTTGATAAAACTTTGTAACACAAACTTTTCACAGCATACACTTGCTTCACTTATCTCACTTATGCATGGATATATGTTGTTTTCACTAAACACGTATTCAAATGGCGCGAAGTCTGTAGGATCGACCGATCGAGAGGTTCCAAAGCTTATCCGTCCCAAAGGTTTTACAGCCCACCCGACGTCCCCTTTTAGTGAAAGGCCTTTTTAGCAAGTTCCATGAAATTTTTGAACAGAAACTATTTTTCACTAAAGATTTCTAGAAAATTACCGTAACCATGCCGTAACTACTAGTTTTTAAAAATCCCGCCTAAACTATAAAATTTACACAAAATTACAAAATAATGATGATTATGAAATTATCTGATCTAATTTATTCATAGAATATAATAATGTTAAATAATTTCCGACAATTTATTTATAAATCTTATAATTTAAATCAAAGTTAAGCAACGACTAAACAGGTTTTTTTTTTATAAATGAGTGAGAATTATTATCTCGAAACATATTAGATGATTTTCACAACTTATGATACAACAAGTATT